TTCAAGAGGAAATTATAGTGATAGAAGGGAACAGACAGCATACAGAAATATATTTTTAAGAAAACAGCATATAATACATTATTGTAAAGATAAATACAGATACTGAAGCTTTTTTTTTTTTTTATCTTAGCATGTATTTATAAGATTTTTAAAGCAGTGGAGGCTTTTACAGTAATACTAGGCATTTTCTCTTGGGGTAACACATTCTGCTAGAAATGTGTGTAACATTAGAACAGACTGTCCAGGGAGGCCGTGGTATCTCCATCCTTGCCCTTTTCAAAAAATCTCAGCTAGACAAAGCCACGGCTGATTTAATATAGTACTGGTGTTGGTGTCATGTGGGGCAGGAGACTGGACTACGTGACCTCTAAAGGTCCCTTTTGACCCACATGCCTGTGGTAGTTTTGCATTAACTATTCCTAGCTGCCTGTACAACAAAGACTACTTTCACTGAAAGGCTGTTTTGTTGAATATCAGTCTCAAAGTTCCTTAGGAATGTAAATGAAAAAAGGCACCTTTTTAGACCCTGTTCCCCAAAGCCCATTCTTCTTCCTCATTTGATATCTGGTGTTTGGTTTTGACTGTTAATAAGTAAAAGGAAAATTACCATGAAACAGACTGTGAAAGATTGCCATGGCAAAAATGTAGTTGAGAAGGCATTTGCATATTTAGGCTAGAATTTTTCAACCACTTAAATCCTACACAATGCCAAAGTGACACAGTTTTGCATTACCCGTTCTCTTACAGTTACAAAATCATATTTAATGACAGAAATAAGATATGGCCAGAGAAAGTAAAGGCAATGACTTCCCAAGCCAATCAAGTCACAGCTGTGTGTCTGCTGGAATATACTGCTGCTTCTGCTGGTCTGCAGTGATTCCTTTCAAGAGGCACTCAGATATATCAGGGAGTTCTCTTGATGTTTAGGAAGAAGGAATCCAAGGTATTTTTGAAAAGACTGCCTCAGTTTTCCAGTCTGGTTCTTTCTGCAGCCCTGTGGTGGTTCTGAGCCCAGTTTGAGGGATAGTGTACCATGGTGCATGGGAACTAAGAAACAGAGTGGGGGAATACTTCAGCTGGGTGCTGTTGCCAGGCATATTTTCTACTGTGTAAACCTAGTGTGAGGTACTGTTCAGGCAATCCCTTAATCAAATGAGTGATCACCAGTAGTCTGAAGAGAGATTAAGTTCAGTGTTTGCAGCTAGGTCACCTCTTGAGGAAAGAATCAGTTTCTTTAAATTTCCTGAGGAGGCACCAAAATAACTGGTTGACTGAAGGTTTATTAGTCAACACTGCTTCAGCAAATGAATAGAGGTAATTCCAAAATTTGTTTTCTAACTTGGTATGTTAACATGGTGAAAATTAAACAGATAAAAGATTGGTGATCAGCAAAAGAAATTCTCCCAGTACTTGATTTAGTCTGTCACTTCCAGGAAACTGAATGTAAACCTATCAATATTTTTTTGAGTTGAGCTTCATAAATGGTAACTTACCTTAAATTAAGGTGTCTCATTCTGTGGATATTGAGGTAAAATGTGATGCAAGGTGCCAGTTTAAGTTGACATAATAAACTGATTTAAATCTCTTTGATCCTCTGCAGGATGGCTGGTTGTGGTGAAATAGATCATTCGATCAACATGCTTCCCACAAACAGGAAGACAAATGAGTCGTGTACTAATGCAGCACCTTCCCTGCCAGTCCCCGAATGTGCTATCTGTCTGCAAACATGTGTCCATCCTGTAAGTCTGCCTTGTAAACATGTTTTCTGCTATCTGTGTGTGAAGGGAGCTTCTTGGCTTGGGAAACGATGTGCACTCTGCCGGCAGGAGATTCCTGAGGATTTTCTTGACAAGCCAACCTTATTGTCACCTGAAGAACTCAAAGCAGCAAGTAGAGGCAATGGAGAATATGCTTGGTACTATGAAGGTAGAAATGGTTGGTGGCAGTATGATGAACGTACCAGCAGAGAGCTGGAAGATGCCTTTGCCAAGGGTAAAAAGAGCACTGAAATGCTAATTGCTGGTTTTTTATATGTAGCAGATCTTGAGAATATGGTACAGTATAGGAGAAATGAGCATGGACGTCGCAGAAAAATAAAACGGGACATAATAGATATACCAAAGAAGGGAGTGGCTGGGCTGAGGCTGGACTGTGACACTAACACTGTCAACCTGGCAAGAGAGAGCTCTGCTGATGGTGCAGACAGCACACTGACTCCGGGGGCTGCGGCTGTGCAGCCTCTAGCACCTATTTCTGTGAGGCCCCTGCCATCACTGGATGGTCAGCTGTTGAGTCCTTCAACACCATCACCTGATGCAAGCAATTCTCTAGAGAACTCTTTTGCCCACTTGCAAATAAATGGAGACAGTATGGCTGAAAGGAGTCATAGGGGAGAGGGAGAAGAAGACCACGAATCATCATCTTCTGGTAGGGTGCCAGTCCCCGACACCTCTGTTGAGGAGACCGAATCGGATGCCAGCAGCGATAGCGAGGATGTGTCTGCCCACATTCAGGAACGCCCATCCTCTGTCCAGCAGAGACATTTGAACGCCAGCGCGAGCCAGTCAGGAGCAGATAGACCAGTGGCAGGGGGTGGGGTGGTAAACACAAGTGTAAGATCTAGAAGGCCAGATGGACAGTGCACAGTCACTGAAGTTTAAATCTAGAGCCATGCGGAAAAAAAAACTCGCTTGTAATTTTCTGTAAATTTTCTGTCCACATTGGCATCGCACTCAAACCTAGCAGTGTGTTTGGTGGGAGGGTGGGGTGAAGGGGAGAAACAGATTTGGCCTGTTTTAACTTAAGTCTCTTAACACGTCTCAGCTGGAAGATTCTTAACCGTAGGAAACTGGGTTGTCCTGTTAATGGTTTGAAAGCTACTTAGCAATGCCCAGTTTTCTTGAGAATGTCTTGTGTTTATTTTGTAGCATTTTCCCCTGGAGATACTCTATCCCTCTTTAGCCAATGTATATCTACTGTACAACTTGAATTGTCTTCATTACCTGACTGTTGCATTAAGTGTCTTACTACTTTCTGCATGGATTGATGTATGAAAAGAACACTAAAGCAATGTGGAATCAGGCAAGGTGTTGGGTGTGAAGCAGGATGCTTAATTTAATGTGAGAAAATAGATGTGAGTTTGGAGTTAAAATGTGTTTTTGCTAGACAAGAGCAATCATTTACCTTCTTTCAATGGAAATGTAAAAATGCTGTTAACTTGTGTTGCAAATCCTACATGCTCTCCATGGCTTTTTCACTGGCTTTGCCATCTAGTCTTTGTAGTTTTGTTTTTGAGGTCTTTCTTGATCTGTCTTGTTTTTGTTACAGAATTTATAATTTAATAAAACTACATTTTATCAGTAACAGTGTCTCATGTTTCCAGTTTAATTGAACTTCACTGGAGGAATTTGAAAGAAAATTATCATAAAACAACTTCCTGTTTTTGCCAGAAGAGAGGACTAGCTCTGAGTGGCATCCTGAAGTTCTTGCATCTCTGACTGGCTTTTTCTCAAACACAATGCTGTAGGAGTATAGTCTTTTCTACTGAAAAATCATGAGTTGCAGGCTTAATGCTCACACAGACAACACTAATTTCTCATCTGAAGAGCTGATTAACTCACTTCACTGTTCATGGCGGGCAGAAGTATCACACACAACCTTAACAGCAGAAATATTGAAATGAAAGAGCATAAGTTATCAAAGTTGACTCTGTAACAAAGGACATGGATATTAAGGACTGTATTGCTGTTTATCTGTTCATAGCAAAATTAGTGGCAGCACAGAAGGGGTAGTTTGTGCATGTACTAGCAATCTAGGAGCTGCATTTCTGCAAATGGACTTCTGCTTATCACAGAATGTTAGAAGCCAGATCTTGAAAAGCACAACTTGTCTTTTCTGTCTGTGGCAATTGTTTTACATTTTTTCCAAATTGAGAAACAGCATTAGTTGATTCTGGATTCAACCTTTATAATCAAGATAATTAAACTCCAATTCTTAGTGTCTGTGTCCCTGAATAGAAAGGGACAGTAGCTGATATGTAGCTACTACAGATCTTAAAACAAAAGTTGCTTTAGAAAAACAACCATTTGAATGGAATGAAAAGAGATGATTTTTAAAGATGCTAGACTTAAACTTCCAAAATGTTCTCCTTCCTGTAATGATGGCTGACATATCTAATCTTGGACAAAGTTGTGCCAGCCCTCTAGTTTGTTTCCTCTGCCTACAGGTGAGATCAGTGGGTCAGGAAAGTGCAGAGGAGACTAGGATGAAATAAGGAAAATTTCATTCTTTCTCAGCTAGGAATAGATGCTCTTGATCACAGATATTTGCTATCATCTTCCAGTTCCATAAGAAAATAAGCCAGTAACATGGACTTCAGAAGAAAACAGGATGGAGTGGTTTTTTTCTCTTTGTTAGCTGTTTTATATCTCTGTTTTGAGTTAGCACACAGTGGCTCTAATCAAAATCTGACTTTGTGCTGCAAAAGCCTTCAGTAAGAACATTTCTGCTATGTGCACACGTTTTACTTTATGTGAGGGATATGTGTTGAAGAAAGCAAGAAGCTAAATACAAGAACTTGACTCACTATATACTTAATTTCAGGATTTTCAGCCCAAACAGTCTACAAATAATTTCATCAGTGATTATCCTTGGGTTTTTTGACCAAAGCAAAGAGGCAGACCTCTATTTAGCCCCCCACCCATGATGCTGCTTTTGGTTCCTGCTGGCTGACTGCAGCTGTGAAGTACTAAAATTAAAGTATGGCTAGTGAGAGATTAATATCCAATCATCAGAGTGGTAAATGCACTCCCCAGATCAAGCCAGGAAAAAGTAGTAACTGGTAATTCCCATCTTATATTTAAACGATTACCTTCAGTAGGGGACGTGCTCTGTCTGTTTTTGCAAAGCCACAGCCACATTGCATTTTGTGGTTTTCTGTAATCCCATGCATTAAGTGATTTTCAACTTGTACTGCACAGCCAGAGAAATGCACAGTGGAGCAGAAGGAAAAAGGAAATTTAAATACTACGTAATCTACAGCAAATCTTCATTTCCAGGAGAACAGATAACTACAGATACAGGAATCCTATGTCATGGTTAAAAAAAAATCAGATATTGAACCAAGAATTCTGTAAGAACACCTTGCTTATCTGGATTGACCATTTGCTTAGTATATTTCTATCAGCAGCAAATAAGACAGAAGTATTTTTATTGCTAAAGGTGATCTCCAGTACCCAACCCTTAAATGCTTGGTGCAGAATCCACACCCCCATTAAGCCCTCAGCATGATCCACTACACAGAGGAAAGAACAAGATGGGCATTTCACGATGTAATAGGAAACTTAGTTTGCTGAGGCGGGAGCTGGCAAACTAGTCCCTAGGAAGTACAAAAGCTAGCATGCTATTTAATTAGGAGACTGGGAGTATCAATTTTGATGTTTCTAATTTATTTTGTGCATTTAGAGCTTGCTTGGTTTTAAGCAATTTCAAAAGGGGGAAAAAATCTGAGAGGAAGCTTGTAGTCTTTTAATAAAGAAAATACAAATGCTTATCAGCTGCTGGTTACAGGTATTTGTCACTTTAAGATGATAAGCAAGTATTCTATGAAATAAAGCATTTAGCTTTCAAAGGGGGAAAACAGGATTCCATTTCATCTCAGTCAGAGCTCTCATCCTAGCACTCATGGTGGGCTGGTTTTCATGTGAAGGGCTCTAAAATACCGTTTCAAATAGAAAATAGACCAGAGAATATGGTATTAGAGTACTCACAAAATCCTTGATCGAGACCTGTAATGATCTTCAGAATGTCCTGTACCTATGTTTGGTATATTTATGATATCAACAAAATGAGTTTCCATAACCCTTTCTGTCTGAGCATGTCTTGCTCTGTAGGAGTTAAATATTTGTCCTGTTTTCTTAGAAGCAAATGTTGACCTTTGATACAAGTCAGAGAGGGTGGCTGGGGAAATGCATTTGCTGAAATGAGAAAGAAGCTCATTGTCTACAAATCAAAATGGAAAGAGATCCAACAGGTGTACATACTGAGTTTCACTTACTGGCTGCACAGATCTGGTTCAAAATGTGAAGGAAACCAAATTCTGCTTTTTTGTTACAATTTCCTCCTTTTCAAATTTGTATTACCCAGTACACAATACATTTATGAGCCTAATACATTAAAGGAAAAAAAAATTCAAGAGTCTTGCTCAGGTTCCAAGCAATTTTCACACCCATTTTAAAAATGTAATTAGGCTATTAGTAATGGCAAATCTGTTCTTGATACTAGCAAAGACATAACCAGTTGCCCTTTAAAGCACATTTATTTTGACTCACATCAACGTGATATGCGATTGCTGCAAAAAGCTGGATGAGTATGGACTGGAGCATGCTTTGAAGGTTCAGTGATGCTGGCAGTCTGGAATCTCTCATGAGTCTTGAGGAATTCCATGAAAAGCAGAACAGTTTCATTACTAAACAGTCAAGTGCAGCCGGACTATATTAAAACATTCATACCTGTGAAGTAACAGGTTTGAAGTCCTTTAGGGTACAGGAAAGAATCCAGCTACACAGGGGACTAACAACTGAGCTATTGAATAAAAAGGGGCAGGGGGAGAAAGAGGCACAAACCAGAACACTATCTCCCCATGTTCTCATTCCTGTCTCTTCTCTAACCTGAAAGTAAAAATTGGACTTTATTTTTGGGGAAGAGACATTTGAAATACTTCTCCATCAGTGCTTCAGATATTAAGGCAAAGATGCAGGATCTACAGAGTGGAGGCAAGTTCCTTATCTTCTCTGAGGTGCCAACTCAAAACACATCCCTTTCTTCAGCATTTCTCTTGATTGCTTCAGGCTCCTTGCTGTGAAAACCCTATAGTGAAACATCCCCAGCAGATCACAGCATCTGCTCGAAACCTGCAGAATCTTAACAGGCAATCCAAGCCAAATTCCCATCATTGATTTGTCCCCAAATCCTCAAACATGTAGTTACCTCACTGTCTAAAACTCAGGAATCCTGCCACACTGTGGAAATTGTAACATGGATTTCCATCCACGAAATTGCCTTTCTTAGGGGAGCTTGTTCCATCATCTGGAGCTAGTTATGCCTGGTCAGGCCAAGCACACAGCCCAAACTTTCCTCGTTAACATGCTCCCACGAGTACTTGGGTCCTGGGCTCAGATCTCAGTCTCTGCTGGATTTAGAGACAAGAGTATCCTAACCAACAGTACATGAAATTCTCAGTCATAGATATATCTGTATGGTTTTGCTCTCATAGATGTTGAATTTTAAGAATCATCTGCCAAAGCAGGGACTCTGTCAGTTTCTAATTTCTAAAGATAAAACCCTCCCCAATGAGTTATCTAATTACTTGAATAGTCACCGGCATGAAGTGGAGACCCAGTTCCAAATCTTCTGATCAGCTCAAATATGCCCAACCATAAAGAAAGATATAGACATATCCACACACAAGTCTTACCAGGATGCTGATGTACTCTGACACCTAGTCAGTTAAGGACATCCCATTTGGGAGTATGATTCATCATGTCCTTCCAAGATTTCAACTAGATTCTGTGTAAAGAACCAGGTCAGCAGCTTTGCACAGGTCCAGGATAAGGGCATGCGCAGATGCATGTGTAGGTAGTTGATTCCTTGAGCGGTGAGAATACTCCTAAATGCATTTAAAAACCTGAATCAGTGTCAGTGAATGAGGGCTAGAAGGTCTCAGTAAGTTAAAGCTTCTTCTGTAAAAACACCATTAAAATTGAAGTATCCTTGGATAGCGAAGAACTGAGTAGAGATGAAAAAATAAAAATTATCCTCTCACTAGTTATTATCCTTTCCAAGCTGCTTAAAGACACTGGTCTCATGTTGGGGAACTTGTATTTTGCAACTTTAGATGCACCTGTTCCGCAAATAAATAAACATTATAACTTTCAAGTAATTAATTTCCATACCAGTTAGAAAAAATTAACTCCAAAGAAAATAATCTTCAGCTTCATTCCAAAAGAATTATAGTTCTATTCTCAGCACAATATTTACCTTTACATACTAATTTCACTAATCTCCATTCAGTGGGTGATTAGGACAGTAAAGAACCTGCCAGGGATTTCTCTGTGGTTGCACACCAAATATGTCTGTCTGAAGTGAATGGCAGGAATGTTAATGCCAGTTTTAAATGGGCAAGTCCTTAAATGATTCAAGTGCAATGCCTGCTTCAGTGAAAGCTTTGTTTGCAAAAAGGTCAGGAACATTTCTTATACATTGACCATCATTTATGTTTTGGTCTTCTAACCAATGCCTGCAAATTGGCAGGCCCACCCCATACAGTTCCGAAAATGTCCTTTTCTGTCCTTAGGGCATCTTCCAGTGGGAGCTCTCTTCCTGCTGTCACCACCTTTTTCACAGCCTGTATCACACTGACTGGACCCTCTGTGTACTGATTCAGCCAGGCTCGGGCTTCTTCTAAGGCCCTGGTTTCATCTGAAGATGACAGGGTCTGCTCTGATAATCCCAGGCGCAAAGCTTTCTCAGGGTCCACCCGGGCAGTCCCGCTCAGCAGCTGCAGGGCTGCCCCACTGCCCACGATCCGCACCAGCCGGGCAGCGCCTCCCCAGCCTGGCACGAGACCCATGTGCTTGTGGACAAACCGAATTTCACTTCCAGGGGTCATCAACCTGCCAATGAAGAACAAACACACAGAGGTCAATCCATGCATTGACATTCATTGGCATTCATTTGCAGCTCGACAGCACTTAACTTTCTATTTTCTCCTCTCCTCTGCTTCCAAAGGCTGATACAACTTGACAGCCTGCCGATTACAGCCAGAGCTGGAGTATCTTCATTTTTACATCACACAGTGCCTTAACTGCAGCATTTGGCCCTTCTCAAAATTAGATACATAGGCTACTACAAGTAAAGGTGCTTAGTGCCCACACTGATACCTGTAGTCAGTTCTAAAAAGTGTTGAAAACAGAACTGCAGACATTTATACACAGTGTCAAAACTCCTTGCTAATTCATGCCTAAAACAACAGGGTATTGGGTAAAAACTAATCAAACTAACGTACAAAACATTTCTCAAGAGGATGAATTGTGATCTTAGTACTGATGTGCACTGGGGGAGGTTCTGTCTGCAACCTGGTGCTTGATTACAGCACAGGTGGGACTTTTTTGTTCCATATTTTTGAGGATCCATGTAAGTTTGATTTCTAACTGCTCACTACACCAAGGGAAATCGGGATGTATGCTCAACTTATGGCTCACAATTTATAATAGAATTGCTTTCTATTTATGCTTGCAATGTGTAATAAAATTGCTCCTCTCCTCAAAGTAAGTCACATTCTTCCTTTCAAAGATTTCCCATCTTTGCTTCTTTTCTACAGCTTCTCACCTCCTTTCCTTAAGAACTCACCCTAGGGTGATTAAGCTATAACCCTGGAGGAGCTCTGCTCCAGCAGATTGTTCTTCTTCACATAGTGGTCACACTGACACACATTAGATTAGTGGAAAAAACTTCTAGAAATAGAAACATACAGAAAAGATGTACAGAAACAGACTAGTACTTGCTCTCTCTCAAGGCGATGTTCTGCAGTGTGATTGCTTGCTGATGTTTGTAAGACAAAGGACGGAAATCGCACTTGTGAAGTCAATTAGCTTCTACTTCAAGCACTAATTGGCTTTCTGAAGACAAATCTTGTAATACTGAGATCTACACACAAGTCTGTTTCCTAACAATGGAGTTTTCCATAGTGAAAATACCAACAGGAACAGCTTTGAAAGGGTAAAGAAAAGGAAAACCTTTAAAAATGCAACTACTTCTAGGACTCGCTGTTCTCAAATCTGCTTAGTTATTGTTAATTGTAAGTTTGCTTGGTTGCTTTTTTTTTAACCAGAGCACCATCAGCATTCATGCCACACTGTACAGCATCAGAACTGAAGAGCTTACGCTTTATCCCAGATGCAGCACAATGCACAAAGGCAACAGCTGACCAGCCAGATTGCATAAAAGCCTTTTTGTAGAGATAGCAGAGGAAGGTTGTGTGACAAAAGGAAGAGAGCAGAGTATTGCGGGGGGGGGTTGGGGGGGGAAGGCTTTTAGCTAACATTATCAAGTGCTTCCCAGCTAACCCAGCAAATCCCAGAGAGCTCGGGTCTCTCCTCTTCAAAAAGAAAATTCTGCAAGTATTCCAAAACTCCTTTACTGGCTCAGCTTACTCTTTAATTTGCTGACACCCAGTGTCCCACTGGGAAAACAATAGTGAAAACATTATTAAGGGTTTAATTCTAGCTGTGCCGAGTGATGTGAGACATTAAAAAAGAAGTGGTCATAAGCAGCTGGGCATCTGATGCTAGACAACCTGTAGGCAGTCTCATGCGACAGCCACTGCAGGTCAGTGAGGTAATGTTGTGGTTGTATGTTGAATCTGAGACTGTCCCAGACACCTGGGACAGGCAATTCTGTGAACATCCTGAGGGCAGTGTAAGGACTCATCTGGGGAGTCAGGTCAATGTCCTCTGAAGTTGGCATGGAAAGTCAAATTTTACACTAGAAGCACAGCCGATCCATCAGCACCAACAAGAAAAAGAGTTGAAAACATTCAGTATGTGGGAAAGGCTCTGTTGCCCTGCAGAGTCTTTACTTCCCTCTAAGTAAATGGAACCAAATGCAATGCGAGGAAAATAAATGACTGACAGCTTAATCCACAGAGAGACTGCAAGGCAACAGCTTCTAGGATCTCGTTGGGATTCACCTCTCCCTACAATGCTCCTTTGAACATGCTCCACAGAAAATACTGAGATAAGCGGTGGTCAGTGGAAGGTGTAACTGTAGTCTTGGACTGCCTTCAGGCTTAAGAAAGGTATCTGTGGTTTTTCAGACTCTTCAACTGTGAATCCTCTCCTGAAGTCGCACCGTTTCTTACAGAAACCACCCATCACACTCTCTGTTAGTATACTTAGTATACCACTCACTTTTTACTGTCACCACCTGCGTCTCCTAGAACGCTTCCATCAACTCTGTCTCTGTACAATCCTAAACATCCACTGGTCAGATTATGTGACCAATACATCTGTTCTAGAACAAGCAGCAGTTCTGAGTATCGAGGCCATGTTGCTGAGAACACAGCTGCATTGGGCAGGACACATCTCCAGAATGAAGGACCACCGCCTCCCTAAGATCTTGCTTTATGGTGAACTTGCCGCTGGCTGCCACAAGAGGAGCCCTGAAGAGGAAATACAAGGACTCCCTGAAACAACATCTCAGCCTTGGCCATATTGATCTTCATCACTGGTCTATTCTGGCCTCTACTCAGGAGGCCTGGAGACACACTATCCATAACGCTGCTGCTTCTTTTGAGAATGCATGCAGGATCACTCTAGAGGATAAAAGACAATGCAGAAAGAATCGTGTCTTGCTGATACCATCCAAGGAGTCTTTCTGCTGTGCCTTTTGCAACCGGACCTGTCTATCTTGCATTGGCCTCTTTAGCCACCAGCACGCTTGTAGCAAATGTCGGTAGAGTCCTTCCCAAATCTTCGTTCACGAAGCCCAGCCATGATCCATTCACTTCCAGTCCCCATGCCCAAGGAAGCAGTGGAGACCTGAGCTCATGTCTGAAGAGGTGTATGCAGTTGCCAAGCCAGCCCGGGATCAGCCTCTGAACATCACCAGCTGCCACCTCGCATAAATATTTCCCTTTTTATTGTATGAGAGGAGTTGAATCTACCTTCTGAGACATGACAGATCTGATCTCCCATTAAAAGAATTTATGTAAGAAAAGCACATCAAGCATTACTAAACATAAAGAGGCAGACATCAAAAAGCTGGAAAGACCAAAGTGCTATTCCCTAGCTGTTTATACTTTATTCACCTATTACTGGCCCTGCCTGAGACAGAACAGTAGATGAAAACAAAATTAACCCTGAATTGACTCAGTATATCTGTTCTTGTCTTCCAGGTCAAAGGAATTAAAATCTGTGTCTCCTGTATTGCAGGGGAAGGTCATATCACTAGACTCCTAGACACGTGTCTTTGCTGCCCTAATAAAGAAAATTTGTTGCATGACAGTACTGAAAAAATATTTATTCAATGTAATTAATGTCAAAGTGACTGAAGGCCTTACATGCACATCCTTCAGAAATGTGAAGGGTAGCAAAATTCTCACAACTTAATTTGGAAATAAGAGGTTAGGGTAACATAAGCACCAAAGTACAGCTGAAACCTTCTTTTAGAACATTTTATTCCATGTTACAAGCACTACAACCCCCCTAGGAAGAAAGCACAGCCACCATGGGCCACATCCAATTTTGTATTAGTCATCTAAAGCAAATGAGCTACAGCAAATGTTCCTCCTGTACATTTTAAAATGTTCTCATCTGCACTAAATCTTATAAATCCTCCCTCTTTGATCTGAGGATTCCTTCATTCTGTGACATCTCATTGTACCCACAAACTACCAACTGTCGTGCCACATCTCATCACATCACTGGCAGAGCACGAGAAGAAGACCTTGTCATTAACAAGGCAACCTAACAAATCCCATCCTTATAAAGGTACACTTGCTTCTCCAAAGGCAGTGCTTGCTGTGACCTAACAGCTATGCTTTCCTTGGCTTTTTACGAACACTCATGTTACTGAGCTGTTCCAATAGGTACAATCAGTTCCTTGGGCAGAATTAAGATTATATTAATACCTGTGCTGGCCCTTACCTTATAATTTCCTGGACTTTGAGTTATATTCATCTTTCTGACAAGGCAAAGGCACTAATCAAGTTTACTAGGGAGGGACAAATACCACCCTCTATTTTAGGCATTTTAAAAGCTCCTACAACTATGCTGTTAAAACCCATGATAGAAAAAAAGATGCCTAAAACACTAAATGTGTTGTCAGCAACCTGGATTTTGTTCCCATTCCCTGTTTGACTCCCAGTGTCATGTAAGGACACAGCTCCTGACTTCTGATCTCCTTTTAGCTGGCATGAGATGGCACACCACAGAGGGAGGCAGCTGGCATCGTGCAGTGCTGCAGCACCTGGTTCTCAGCTATGGTTATACTGAGAGAGGGCAGCCAGAACTGCAGGAGATGACTTTTATCTTCCCCCCAAATACTTTGGCATCCTGCTCTCAAACCACCAATCAATATAAATAATAAACAGAGCGTATGTGTTCCGGTCACAGTAAGTTCCCTCACCAAATCTGCTACCTTCTTCTATAAATTTCAGTAACACCTACCTACAATATGATTGAACCAACACAAAGTGCAAAATTCTCCAAAAACGAGAGTCAAAGGCCTTGAGATACAATTAAAAGACATCCATAATTTTAGCATGCTGTAGACAAGAGTTATAGAAATAATAAGAAATCTTCAAGTAGAACTAGATATTTTATAAAACATAGATACAGAACACGCAGACACAGGAAGACCAATGACTATGGTCAATCACACACTTATTTTGGCTCTTATTACTCAGTGAAGACAGCAAGAATGCAGTATTGATATCGAAGGCGTTCAACCAAGCATCCAGACCACACGTGGAACTATTTTAGGCACAGGAAAAGAGAGATATTGCAAAAAAAGAAAACCACCAAAAAAATGGTAACAGAAAGAAGGTTATCAAAAGTCAAACACTTGCTTTAAACAGGAAAGAACAGAACAGCAAAGTTGATGTGCAATGCCA